GGGCATCCGAAATTATGGTGCCGTGTAGAACCAGATCCTGGCTATCCACCCTGCAAAGCACAGCTTCGTCGCAACTACGGTCTGCCTACAGTAGCGGTTTTAGTAAGAGCTAATTTAACCCCAAAAACTGGCCAAAATCGGCCATTTTTTAGTCATTTTGATCAGGAAAATTTTCAAATTTCGACCCCTTTTTTTTTTTTCTTTTTTTTGGCTGAAATGGATTTGGGGGGTCCGGGGGAGGTTCGAAATTTGTTTCAAACTTGTTTCCGGCTTTTTGGTGAAAAACTAGAGGCGAAAAACTGAGCAATTTGTATCAAAAAAGGGCAAACTTTCAGCTCCTGTAACTTTGGAACCAGTTGAGATAGGGCATCCGGAATTATGGTGCCGTGTAGAACCAGATCCTGGCTATCCACCCTGCAAAGCACAGCTTCTTCGCAACTACGGTCTGCCTACAGTAGCGGTTTTAGTAAGAGCTAATTTAACCCCAAAAACTGGCCAAAATCGGCCATTTTTTAGTCATTTTGATCAGGAAAATTTTCAAATTTCGACCACAAATTTTTTTTCTTTTTTTTGGCTGAGATGGATTTGGGGGGTCCGGGGGAGGTTCGAAATTTGTTTCAAACTTGTTTCCGGCTTTTTGGTGAAAAACTAGAGGCGAAAAACTGAGCAATTTTTATCAAAAAAGGGCAAACTTTCAGCTCCTGTAACTTTGGAACCAGTTGAGATAGGGCATCCGAAGTTATGGTGCCGTGTAGAACCAGATCCTGGCTATCCACCCTGCAAAGCACAGCTTCGTCGCAACTACGGTCTGCCTACAGTAGCGGTTTTAGTAAGAGCTAATTTAACCCCAAAAACTGGCCAAAATCGGCCATTTTTTAGTCATTTTGATCAGGAAAATTTTCAAATTTTGACCACAAATTTTTTTTCTTTTTTTTGGCTGAGATGGATTTGGGGGGTCCGGGGGAGGTTCGAAATTTGTTTCAAACTTGTTTCCGGCTTTTTGGTGAAAAACTAGAGGCGAAAAACTGAGCAATTTTTATCAAAAAAGGGCAAACTTTCAGCTCCTGTAACTTTGGAACCAGTTGAGATAGGGCATCCGAAATTATGGTGCCGTGTAGAACCAGATCCTGGCTATCCACCCTGCAAAGCACAGCTTCGTGCTACTTTTGTTTTTTTTTTTTTTTTTTTTTTTTTTAAACTCCAAACTAGGTCGGAACATGGATATTTCTCCATTGACATTGCATTGATAAACGTCATCCGGCCCCATCAGCTGATCTAAATTTACATTGGCTTCTTAATGGCCCCGCGGAATGGATATATAATGAGTATTTTTTATATTCACTGAAATATTTGTAATGGACGTTTGTTGTACAACATTGTTTTGTTGCTTTGTATATATCGGGTATATTAAGTTTTTAGGTAAAGTGTCACATATAAATATATATATTCTTCAGTGGAAAAGTTATTCGGTTAGTACTTGATATGGAAATTTTTTTGGAACCTTTTTTGTGAGGAATATCAAAATTCTATTTTAAATTTAATCAAGAAAATGAAATTTAAGAAAAGCGATTGAATAATAAGGTAAATTCGATTGAATATTTAAATATTACTAAACTCTTGACCATCAATGTTATAACATTGTAATATACAATATTTCAGGTAGTTAAAGGGATTGTAAGAGGTTACTAATCGCAAAATATGCTGGCATCACATAAGGCCCTTCACGTTTAGTGCCATCATCAAAGACTTAGTTTTAGTGGAATTAAACCATAGACATCTATTTAAAAATTAGTAAGGCGAAAAATGATGCTATCAGTATCCGGAAATCGGAGCAGGCTAATGCAACTGTCCTGTCCCTCATGGCACCCTACATGGCGTTGCCCGTCTTCATTAGCCCACAAGGTGCAGAAGGTGCAGTCGAAGGGGGATAATTTTATTTTCATGTGGTCTGTAATAACACGTTATACGTGTCATAAGCCGTAGCAGTAGACCACGAAGTCTACTCCAATAGATTGTGACTGACTTTTGCAACTATTTTGTGTATCTCCGGAAATGATAAATGATTGTGCGACCTCGCGTGACATCTGCATTTGCATGTTGGGATAAACATGGGTTATCTCTACAACGTCAACATGTAGAATTTTTCCTATCGTTTCAATGTCAAATTTATTATCTATTCCTAATATATACAAAATTTCAGTTAATACCAAATATCACTATTTTTTATCGACCATATTTCATTATAATCCCAGGCTGTAATCGGAACTCCATGTGTCGTCTGATAGAATATAATCCAGTGAACAAAGTCACGTGACAAAACAGCGGATTACATGTCAGCAAAAAAATTCTATTGAACTTTAGCAATAAATTTCTCTTACGTTTTACTTATCTTATTGTGGGTCAATATATTCTTTAAAAAAATAATTTTCCTTTGACGGAATTGTCATTAGTTATTAAACATTATTAAAGATTAATACTAAGAAATGATAGTTATACCACAGGGTATCCATACAACGTGTTTTCTCGCCTTATTTACAAATGTCCTTATATATACCACCTTATAATTGTCAACCATTCCATTTAACACAGCTCTAAATTGCTAAAATATATTTACATGCATGTTGTATATATCATAGACGTTTAAATTTCTGCCGTGCAGTGTGCAATTAGGGATATATTGCATGAAAAGTAGCAAATTTCAAACTACCACGAGCCCATTGATCATAATATCGTAATAGTAGATATAATAATAAAATTGAAGAGCGAAAGTGGATGATAGTGTAACATATAAAAAATGTTGGCAGTGACGGAGTATGTTTAGGCGAACTTTAAAACAGAACAGTGAAACTTTATTGAATTTATTGAAGCTTGCTTGGCAAGGTAACATACGCCATAACCAGCTTTCAGAAATGATAACATGTCTGTAGTCTAATGTCAAGCTTTAATGAGATCTCATACATAGTTTCATCAAGATCGGATAAAAAAATGTAGTCTCTATCAGGCCTACAAGCTAAATTAGGCCCAGAAAACTAATTCAAGGGCAATAAGAGTTCATCCGATTGTTACCAGTTTCAAACTTGACTGAGATTTTGTCCATATATACATGCATACCAAGTTCCATCGTGATCAGATAAACCATGTAGCCTCTATTGTGCCTAAAAGCCAAACTAGACGCATTGATTTAATTCAAGGGCAATAACTCCAAAATCATTCATCCAATTATTACCATTTTTAACTTGAGATCTCATCAATATATACATGCATACCAAGTTTCATCAAGATCAGATAAAAAAAAATGCACCCTGTATCAATATATTTTCAAGTTTCATCAAGATCGGATAAAAACTGTAGTCTATAGAGTGCTTACAAGCCAAATTAAGCTTCATCAAGATCGGATAAAATTTTTAGCCTTTAAAAGTCAAATTTAACGTGTTTTTACTAAGTCAAGGGCAATGACTCTGAAACTTTTCATCCGATTATTACCAATTTTGAACTTGACCAAGATCTCATCAATATATACATGCATACCAGGTTTCATCAAGATCAGATAAAAGCTGTAGCCTTTATCGAGCATACAACAAATGTGGACGGACGAACGGAAGGGCGGACGGACGGACAGGGGCGACGGCAATAAATTATACCTCCACGTATAAAAGATTAGTACAGATGAGATAAGTTTCGAGATATTAATCAAATAGTTTGCTTAATTTGACACTAAAAAAAGGGAAACCCATCTTTAAAAGCAACCGAGAAATTTTAACCTTGCTGTTTTAAAGAGTTTTTTTTTACTTCGTCAATTATGTCCGAACTACTTTTTCAATTATCATTTTACCAATGTGCCTAGTACGACTTACAAGAAAGTCACAAATTGAACTTTTAAAACATACAATTAAAACTTATTTTCACCAGTCGATCGAAATTTACATGTAGTCATCTATTTTAAATTTTTTGAAAAGGGAACGGGTCTAAGAGATTGGTATGTAATACCGTGTCCTGTAAAAGATTGTGTAAAAGTTTGAAATCTAGAAATGGAAAGCTAATATTCCTGATCTGCCCTTCGTTGCATACTACATTACTTCATTATACTTATTGTCTTCAATATTGTATTACGTTCTTCCTACTCGTCTTTTGGGTTAATCTCTTACTAAACAGAGCAATTAATACTTTAAATTTGTAAAATAACACACACGTACGTCAAAATTATTGATAGACATCTATAACAGATTTTAGATAGTTTTTCAGATACAATTTCGATGATTTATGTCTTATTGGTATCGGTTAAGCGTCCAAAGAGGTAACTCATCCGCCGCTTAAATCATCCCGATCCATGTCGCCTTCGTAGAGGAAGCTGTGAACGTAATGGGGACCCAATTGGCTTTCAGGAAAGTCTATTTTTAAAAGACAGATTTGCCATTTTTCAGAGTTGATATTGGTCTTGATTATAGTAAATAGTAAATAAATAGTTTTCAGAAGTAGTGGAAATGTGCGAAAAAAATCCTTCAAATTGTTTCGAAACCTAGGAATTTCCCTTTCTATTAGTACTATGTCTTTGCTATATAGGATAAGAAAAGAAGAGTCATCTTTTTATCAATAATTCTGAACACACGTGGGTTTGAAAGCTCACATTAAACACTATTACTGTTAAGATTAGCAAAAAATCCCCATTTCTGAGACAAAGTTACGATTGGTAAAACGTATGGCGAATCTGTCCTTTAATTTGTTACATTTGGATCTAAGGTTCAAATTTCATTGGGATTTTCACTGGAATTTTCAAGTTACTTTGTTCTGCTATATTTTTCACAGGGACATAACCCATTTGTTTATAGACATCCGAGCATGTGTTGTCAATAATCTTCACTAAGCTATGCTCCAATAGATGCCTCCATTTATAAGCAGTGGCAACGGAATTGTTTCTTGTTGTACAGATAACACAGTTGTCTGGAAGCCCAGCTGAAGTGATTTTCCAAATGTAGTCTTTGATATCTTGACTGATTTTTAAGCCAAGAAATTCATATAAATTCTCAGTGGCTTTGATTGGTTTTTCAGAAATATCTTCATATCGAAGAGTTTTGATCCTATTCGGAAATTTCTTTTTAAGGCGCTCAGACCATTTTATATCATTGGAAACTCTGTTACAAAACTCCTTCATACCATTTAAATTTAAGGCTTTTATCCCCTGAAATTGGCCCACACTCCTCTGAGAACGTAAGGTACCTCTCGGATCGCGAATTAAATGAACAATTTTTAAATGTGGATAATTTTCTAATAAAAATCTCTGTTTCTTTAAGATTTAGTCATATAATTTTCAATAGCACTAGTTTCGATCGGCTGCATGGTTTTTGAAACAATGGCAGACAATTAACGATTCCCATTTTCCCGGTGTTACGGTTGATACACTCCATGTAGCTTTTGGTACTTAAACTGTTACTATAATGGTACTGTCTTAATGTATCTACGTCAAGGTTTGATATGTTGCAATTGAAGATGTTTTCCATTGCTTCTATGGACAATTTGTTGTAATTTCCTGGATTAACTTTCCTTAAAATATATTGAATAAGAACATTGATATACACTTATACATCATTCCTTATTGTATTTTTAAACAAAATGATTCTTCAGTACAACATACGGTATTAAATTTGACAGTAAAGAACATTGATATACACTTATATCTTATTGCATTTTTATACAAAATGATTCTTCAGTACAACATACGGTATTAAATTTGACAGTAAAGAACATTGATATACACATATATCTTATCGCATTTTTAAACAAAATGATTCTTCAGTACAACATACGGTATTAAATTTGACAGTAAAGAACATTGATGTACACTTATACCTTATTGCATTTTTATACAAAATGATTCTTCAGTACAACATACGGTATTAAATTTGACAGTAAAGAACATTGATGTACACTTATACCTTATTGCATTTTTATACAAAATGATTCTTCAGTACAACATACGTTATTAGATTTCGCAGTAAAGAACATTGATGTACACTTATACCTTATTGTATTTTTATACAAAATGATTCTTCAGTACAACATACGGTATTAAATTTGACAGTAAAGAACATTGATGTACACTTATACCTTATTGTATTTTTATACATTAAGATTCTTCAATACAACATACGGTATTAGATTTCGCAGTAAAGAACATTGATGTACACTTATACCTTATTGCATTTTTATACAAAATGATTCTTCAGTACAACATACGGTATTAAATTTGACAGTAAAGAACATTGATGTACACTTATACCTTATTGCATTTCTATACAAAATGATTCTTCAGTACAACATACGGTATTAAATTTTACAGTAAAGAACATTGATATACACTTATATCTTATTGCATTTTTATACAAAATGATTCTTCAGTACAACATACGGTATTAAATTTGACAGTAAAGAACATTGATGTACACTTATACCTTATTGCATTTTTATACAAAATGATTCTTCAGTACAACATACGGTATTAAATTTGACAGTAAAGAACATTGATGTACACTTATACCTTATTGCATTTTTATACAAAATGATTCTTCAGTACAACATACGGTATTAAATTTGACAGTAAAGAACATTGATGTACACTTATACCTTATTGTATTTTTATACAAAATGATTCTCCAGTACAACATACGGTATTAAATTTGACAGTAAAGAACATTGATGTACACTTATACCTTATTGCATTTTTATACAAAATGATTCTTCAGTACAACATACGTTATTAGATTTCGCAGTAAAGAACATTGATGTACACTTATACCTTATTGTATTTTTATACAAAATGATTCTTCAGTACAACATACGGTATTAAATTTGACAGTAAAGAACATTGATGTACACTTATACCTTATTGTATTTTTATATATTAAGATTCTTCAG